TGCTTGTGCTGGGACCCGGAGGGACCCGAGGAGTAGACAGTGGGCGGGCCGGGTGTTGACAAAGAAGAAACTGGGTTTCAAAGGCCCATACCGACAAGGGGGCGGGGCTACAGAGCTCAGTCTCCAAAACCCGGGAGAGGGGCGGGGCCGGAGTTGGGGAAGGGTGGATTGAGCTAAGCCCTCGGGGCCTGTTGGAAGCAGAAAAGGCAGGAGCCAGGGCAGCAGCCCCGGCAGCTGCGGGACAGCCAATTGGCCCGGCCAGTGCAGAAAAGGGTCCTGTAGGGAAGCGGTTGGTCCTAGTGGCGGAGTCTGGAGAGGGGCAGGGCTCACGGTTCCGCTAGGAGCGTGGTGGTAGCTGAGCACAGGGAAGCGGCCTCCCTGGCGGAAGCGGGCGCTGCGTGCCAGGGCATCATCGTCCACAGCGCGAGGCACGATCACCGCTCGGGGGTAACTGGGGCACAAGCTGAAGTCCTCGTTCACCTCGCTCAGCCGCCACGCATTGGTCTGCGGTGCAGGGAGGGAGGAAGGCCAGGTCCAGGGTACCCAGTGCGTGCCACGTCCCCGAGCCCCTCCCAGGTCCGGCGCTTCCGCATCCCCAGGCCCCAAAGACCGCACCCACCTCGCGAGCTATTCTCTTGTAGTAATGTTCGGGCGGGTGGAAATGCCAGGCGTCGCCCAATCTCAAACCCTTGGGACGGTAGAAGAACGGATAGGAGGTGATGACTGATTCAAGGGAAGACAGAGCCTGGGGAAGGAAGTCAGGGGATCTGGGAAAGGTGGAATCATTTCACCCACACCCATACAGCCCCTCGGTTCCACAGCTCCCACCTCTCCAAGTACTCCAGACCATCATGCATCCCCTAGCCAGTAGCTGTGCCCTGGGATAACACTGGCTGCTGAATACTCTTGCTCAGTAGCCTCTATTTACTACCCTCGTTACCGGACAGGGGTAGTTTAAGGTCTCGGGTACACCCACGGAGTACCTCGATGGAGCGGGCTATATCCAGCGTCGCCTCCACACCCTCTATGTCCAGCTGTAGCACGCGCAGGTCCTTACAGCGCAGCGTGATGGTGCCAGAGTCACCCGCGACCCTGGGGATGGACGAGTTTAGGCTTAGTGCACCCTGCCCTCCATCAGGAGAGAAGAAACCAGTTCATAGGATTGGACATACTGCACCAGCTCCAACTGTGTTTGCCCTTTCCCCTCACCCCGCGGAACCGCGAGGTCCGTAACTCCGGGGTCGCCCTTGCCAAGCTCACCGCTTCTCGATGGAGTCGACACTACGCAACAGCAGCAGCCACAGATCTGGAGTCGCCTGGGGCCCTGAAGACAGCAGCAGGTGGTGGCCGGTGACGCACAGTGTGCCGCGCAGTGGGGGCACCCCGGGGCCCCGCAAGAGCTCGGCTTGGGCCCGGCCTGTACGGATCAACTCCGAGAACTCCATTCCTCTTTTGGTGGGCCTGGGGCCCAGCAAAAGGACAGACTTCAGAAGAGTCAGGCGGGGCTAGCGCGGGCTCCGAAAGGGACAGGAACTGGCTGGGCAGCTGGCGACGCCGGCAAGTCAGCTGTTAAGGAGGTCCCTTGGAGGAAGGAATCACACAATTTCAAAGGAATTTTCTCCTCTTATTGCCAGTACCTCTTAGTGAGGACCCCAACCAGAACTTTTTTTTTTGTATGTGCCCCTAGCGGGAACCGAACCCGGGAATCTCTGGTCTGCAGGCCGACGCTCCAACCTCTGAGCCAAACCGGCCAGGGCCAGAACTTGTTAAAGAAACCTCAATTTCACCATCTGTGAAATGGGGAGAATAATCTTGTTTAAACCCTTAACCTCGTGCCTGATTCTCAGGTGACACTCAATATTTTTGGCTTTTTAGACTGGAGTGCTGGAATTCCTGCTGACTTAAGAAAAATAAAAATAACATCTCTTCTGGACCTTGGTGGAAGGGGTGGAAAGTGTGGATGTGAAACTGGGAACTGCCTACTTTCTCCCTTACATCTGAGACTGGGTGGGGGAAATTCCTTGGTCTACCTTAAATGCAAGCAGCTGTGTAGCTGGTGCCCCTCCCCCACCACAGCTGGAAGTCCCTGACTAAGGGCGCCCTCTATGGTGGCCACTTCTGGTTTATTCCTGTCCTCTGGAGCCCCATCCCCTATCACTCCATCCTTTGACTAAATATGTATTGCCCATTACACTGAGCCGGGCTCTATATTTAGTGTTGGAAGCAAAGGATGACTGAGTTCTGTTCATAGGGTCTGGCAAGAATTACACTTAGAATAGTAATTTACATTACTGGAGGACTCATCAATCCATCCAATTCTTTCATTGCTTAAACACTGATGCCTACACTGTGTGAAGTGCCGATTACTAAGAAGAATAAGATTGCCCCGGTCAGTTTTGCCCAGCGGTTAGAGCACTGCCCTGGGACTGAAGAGTCACAGGTTGGATTCCTGACTAAGGGCTTATACCTGGGTTGCAGGTTAGATCCCTGCGCCCCACCCACCCCCCGTGGGTCATGCGGAATGCAACTAGTCCATGTGTCTCACGTCAATGGTTTTCTCTCTCTGCCTCTCTCCCTCCAACTCTGTTTTTTAAAAAGCAATGGAAAAATATCCTCAGGTGAGGATTAAAAACAACAAAATAGTCCTGGCTGGTTTTGTTCAGTGGTTAGAGCATTGGCCCGCAGACCATTGAGTCTTGGGTTCGATTTTGATCAAGATCGCGTACCTCAGTTATGGTTCATCCCCGGCCCTGGTTGGGTTGTGTGGGAGGCAACCAGTCGGTGTATCTCTCTCACATCAATGTTTCTCTCTCCCTCCCTCCCACTCTATCTGAAGATAAATAGAAAAATATCCTTAGGTGAGGATTAAAAAACAACAAAATAATAAGATGGACTCCTGCCTTCAAAGAGCCTTCTGGCCCTGGCCGGTTTGGCTCAGCGGTTAGAGTGTCGGCCTGCGGTCCTGAGAGACCCGGGTTCGGTTCCGCTAAGGGCGCGTACCGGTTGCAGCTTGTCCCCGGCCCTGGTTGGTTGTGCGGGTGGCAGCCACTCGATGTGTTCCTTTCACATCGATGTTTCTCTCTCTCTCTCTGTTCCTCTTGCTCCCTCCCACTCTACCTGAACAAAAAATGGAAAAATGTCCTCGGGTGAGGATAAAAAAAAAAAAAAAAAAAAAATAGCCTTCTGGTCCACTAGGTTCCACTAGCTTGTGTGTGTGCGCCAACACACAAAACCCTTCTTTCAAAAAAAAAAAATCATAGGTGGACCCTCGTAACATAAACATAAAAGTAGAACTACTCTACAAAAGGAATCAGACATAAAAATACAAATTGTAAACTTCCAGACCAGCAGCAGCTGCTGAGATGGAAATTTGTTAGAAATGCAAATTATGCGCTACCCCCCACCTCATACATACTAAATTAGAAACTGGGAGTGGGACTCAGAAGTTTTTTTAACAAATTTTCCAAGTGATTACGACACATGTAAGTTTAAGAACCACTAGAACTTATAAAAAAAAAAAAGGGTTAAATTAATCAGCTTGAATGGCTGGTGGAATACAGTACATTGTTGCTTGATCTGGGTGCTGGTTACGTAAGTGTGTTCCGTTAGGGAGAATTCATCAAGCTGTGTATTTATGATATGTGAATTTTTCTATGTGTGTTATACATTTTCTTAAGGTTAAAAAATGTTTTTTCTTTATTGATTTTAGAGAGAAAGGATGGCAGAGGGAGAGAGTGATACAAACATCGATGAGAAAGAACATCAATTGGCTGCCTCCTGCTTGATCCCCACTGGGGATTGGGCCCACAACCTGGGCATGTGCCCTCACCAGTCAATGCTCAACCAGTGAGCCACACTGGCCAGGCTATTTTTAAGATTTTTAAAATTGATTTTTAGAGAGAGAGGAAAGGAGAGAGAGAGAGAGAAACATCTATGTGAGAGTGTAATATTGATTGGCTGCCTCTTACACGCCCCCTACTGGGGATCAAACCCTGACTAGGAATAGAATTGGCAACCTTTCAGTGCAAGGGACAACACCCAACCAACTAAACCACTCTGGCCAGGAATGTGTGTGTTATATTTCTTTCTCAGTTTTTAAATCCTCACCCGAGGATATTTTTCCCATTGTTTTTTCAGATAGAGTGGAAGGGAGGGAGAAGGAGAGGGAGAGGGAGAGGGAGAGGGAGAGGGAGAGGGAGAGGGAGAGGGAGAGGGAGAGGGAGAGGGAGAGGGAGAGGGAGAGGGAGAGGGAGAGGGAGAGAGATCAATTGGTTGCCTCCCACACGACTTGACTGGGGCAGGGGATCAAACCTGCAATCGAGGTACAAGGTATATGCCCTTGACTGGGACTCGAACCAGTGACTTTTTGGTCCGAGGGCCAGCGCTCTAACTGCTGAGCCAAACTGGCCAGGGCTGTGTGTTATATTTCAATACAAAGGTTACAAAAGGGAACTGCCTGGTTGAAGACCAGGAGAAGCAGGCCTAGGAGCCCATCCACAGCTGTGCCCTTATCCTACATGCAGTCTCTGAGAGATTTTCAAGGGAATCTAAAGCTCCTTAGAGTATAGCTTGAAATTAAAGATCTGTCCCAACAGATTCGGCGACTTGTCCAAGGCCCCACACAGCCAGTGCCAGAATCCAAGTCTTGTGATTCCTGGGCCAGGGCTCTGGACACTTCCTTTGCTGAAGGGCCAGTGCCATGAGTGAGGACAGAGGGCAGCTTGTCAGCCTCCTAATCCTCCCCATTCTCTTACTTGGGTCTTGGGAAGAGGGCCAAGAAGCTGGTGTTGGCGATGCTTTTCTTGTCCTGGAACAACTTCCTTTCTGGGAAACTGGGTGTCTCCTTCTGGGTAAAGACAATAAAATTCATCCTAGGGGCCAAAGGAGCAGGGCTTCTTCTGTCACCAAACGGATGGGCATCACGTGGCTCCAGGGTTAGCAGTCCAGGAAAATCCCAGCCCTTGCACACTCTGCCTCCCACACCCATATACTCACTCACTCACCCTGCCACACTCAGCTCCCTGACCCACCTTGAACATTCACCATTGCACACTCTCTGGCACACTTCTTTCACCCTCAGCTTCTGCCACCTCTCCCTGGGCGATATTGCCAGCCTCTCCCTAATCCTAGAGCTGCAGTCTTGTTCTGTCGCTCACCCCAAACCTACTATGTCCCTGGGGCCACTGAAATTCCAGGCAGTGGGCGAAGAAGATGAGGAAGATGAGGAGGAAGAGAGCCTGGATTCCGTGAAGGCGCTGACGGCTAAGCTGCAGCTGCAAACACGAAGGCCCTCATATCTGGAGTGGAAGGCCCAGGTCCAGAGCCAGGCCTGGCGTAGGGCCCAAGCTGGACCTGGGCCGGGAGAACCTGGGGCCATCTGCGGCTTCGATTCCATGGACTCTGCCCTTCAGTGGCTCCGACGGGAACTGGTGAGTCTGCTGGGGTGGGCATCCTTGTAGAGGGCCTTGGGGACAGTCCTCTAAGACCACAGGTGTGGAGTAGGAATAAGAACGGACCCTACCTCCAGCAACTGCCCATTCCTGTGGCTGTGTCCAGGGGCTGAGGAGCCAGGAATGGATTTGTTCAGTGTTTTATTCAGGAGACTTGCTGAAGGATTCCATTCAGTCTGCTGACCTTGTGCTTCTGTGGCTGAAGGGACATTGCCTACTCTTTGGGCCACCAGTTGTAGACAGGAAGGGCAAGGCCTGCCCTACTCTGGGAATTGCTATGCCCAAAGACATTGTGAAGTGCAGAATGATGCACTCACCACGCTGGAGGCAGAATCTGAGGAGGCGAATGTTAAATAGGTGGCTCTTAACCCAACATGTGTAAATACAAAGAGGTCCAGGCTCCCAATTGGAGAGTCTACTTAGTTATCTGGGATGGGGCCCCAGGCACCTGTATTTCTTTAGCCATGGCTTCTTAGCTTGGATTTAGAACCACGGGTATGGAGCAAGTGCAGAGAGATGGGAAGGGATTAAGCTGGGGTGGAGGACACAGCTTGTGCAAAGAGCCAGGGTGTTAACAGGAAGGGCGAGAGCAGCCCAGGGCGGTGCAGCCGGCTGATGCCCCCTCTTGGCCCCAGCGCGAGATGCAGGCTCAGGACCGGCAGCTGGCAGGGCAGCTGCTTCGCCTGCGGGCCCAGCTGCATCGGCTGAAGGTGGACCAAGCCTGTCATCTGCACCAAGAGCTGCTGGATGAAGCCGAGCTGGAGCTGGAACTGGAGCTGGGGGCTGGCCTGGCCCTGGCCCCGCCGCTGCGGCACCTGGGCCTCACACGCATGAACATCAGCGCCCGACGCTTCACCCTCTGCTGAGGGGAACCTGCATGCCTACTGAGCCCCCCCCCCTGCTACCCTTTTCCCCTGCCCGCCTGGAAAGGGGGAAGCAAGGTGTGCCCCAGAGGCACCAGCACCTGGCAGGAGTGGGGGTTGATGGGTATACTCAGCTCTGGGAGCATAAAGCCCCAGCATCCTGTTCCTGCTGCTGCCCCAGCTGTGTGTGTGACGGGGGCTCACAGACCCCCAGGCTCCTCAATAAATGCCCTCTCTGCTTTCCATCAAGGTGTCTGCAGTCATTTATTTAGTCAAGGTCGCTGAGTGTCTTCTGTTGCTGGGACCAGGGATTCATTTCAGGAGAGAAGGCATGGGTTGGGGTGGACATTAGCTAATGGATCCCCATCTCCCTCACAGCTCTAGCTCTATCTTAGCAAGATCAGAACTGGGAAAGAACTTAAAATCCTAAATGACCTCTATGGAAGGTGACTTGGGTAAATGGGCAGCTGAGAAATGCAGGATCTGATAGATCTGGATTCAAAGCCAGCCCCACCATTTATTTCTATCAGACCTTGAGGAGGTCCCTTAATTTCTGGATCTGTTTCTTTACCTCTAAAATTAAGTGTGCTGATTCTCACTCCACAAGTAGTTAAACATGTCTTAAGTGTGATCATGCACAGTAAGCACTTAATAAATGTGAACCATCCATTGTTAATCATTACTATCACCAGTGTTATTACTATTGGGCTAAGGCCCAGAGACGGCCTGTGAAGGGGAACCGAGGCTGAAGCCCAGACTCTGGGCTATGTGTCACTGTTGGGTGTTTTTGTGTGTGTGTGTTTTTTTTAAACTTTGTATCTCTCAGCCTTTGTTTCTGTGTTACCCTCTTTGTCTGACTTTCCAACTCAGGCTTCCTCTTCCCCCCACCCATTTCCTGTCTCCCCTTCCCTCCGCAGCTGAGGTGCACACAGAATCAGCTTCCACCTCACAAACCCCAACAATGCTCTGTGGGCTCCCCTCCCCCAACCTGCTCAGTCGGTGTAGCTCAGGCTGTGGCGGTGGTGACGCATTTACCTTCCTCTGGGAAGGGTCAAGGCCCTTGGGACTGATGAAGGCCACCTAGCATTTTTCATAACACTGATGACCTGGCTCTCAGCCTATGATGGGTGCCACCCTCAGTGTGGCCCCAGGTTAAAGGGAGATTCTTCACCTGCTTGCTGTTTGAGACAAGGTTCCTGCCTCCTGCCTATAACAGAAAGTGCAGCCAGTGCTGCACCTGAGTGCCCGGGGAAGGGGTGTTTGTTCTGTCTTCACCTATTGCAGGAGATGGTGCCAGGCCCTGCACCTTTAACAGGTTCTATGGCCTTGCCTCTACCTCAATTAGAAGTGTCCAGTACTCTCCAACCATAATTAGTGTTGTCCTGCCTGCTTTCTTAAACAGCTTGTTGTCCAGCCATCTGTCTGTAAGAGGACTGTTAGCTACTCTCTGACTAGAATAAGCTATTGCCCTGTGCCCTGAAATGATATGATTATTATTCTGACTGTAGTAGCCAAGTTAGCCTGACATCGGACTAGAACATGGGTGTTCTGCTCTCAAACTACTGAACAGGGATATTGGGCTCTCCTCTGACCCTGAAGTGATATTACCTTTGCCTCAGACTGTAATAAAAGGGCCGTTCAGCTCTCGGACTGTGAGAACAGTGCTTCTTGCCTCGCACTGACAGCTGAGTGTGTCCCTGCTCACTGGGGTTTAAAGGCTGCCCTTCAGTCTCTTGTCCAGGTGCACTCTGGGGGGAAGGAGGGAGAGTCCATCAAATATCCTTCCTTCTCCTCCAAGTGCCACCCTCAAGGTGAGTAGGGCTGGGGCTGGAGGTGTACAGGATCCTCAGGGACTGAGGCATGGGGGGCTATGGTGACAGGAAGCTTGGGGTGCTGGAGGCTTGTGGTTGGGCTACTGGGGCCCGGTTGGCTGCGGAGCCCTTAGGAGGAGGCAGGAAGTCAGGGTGGGACGTGGGCGCGAAGAGTCAGGTGGTGGCTACAGCAAGTGGAGCTGAAACTGTCTGGGTGCAAGGCCGGGCCAGGAGGACCATGTGAATGGGGCCAGAGGGCTCCTGGGCTGGGCAGGTAAGGAGTACTGGGAACAGGAGTCGAGGGGCTGTGGTGGGGGCCCTGATACAAGGGGGCTGAAGCCAGGCATGGGCCAGGCTGCCTGTATGCAGCAGCTGTGTAGGCTGGGGGACAGAAAAACCTTGCTCGAGGTTAGGGAAGAGGCATGCAGTGCCGCCAGATCACCTCTCTCTTGCGTAGTGGTTGGCTCTTGGTTCTGCCACACTGCCCATCATCGGCCTCCACCTCACTGGGAGGTCTGGCACATGGACTGTCAGGTATTAAAAAGGCCTTCAGAAATCCCCACGTCCAGTGCTCGCTTCGGCAGAACATACAAGCAAAAAAAGAAAAAGACATCCCCAAGTCCAGTCCCTCATCCCATGATGGATGAGCCTCCTGATGCCCAGAGAGGGCCACGTACTCCCTCCCTGCAGTCCCCCAGCGAGGCAGTGGCAGAGCCAGGTCTTGGGAAAAGGGATGGTCTAGGCTGTGACCTCCCATGGAGCAGGGTAATGGGCAGGCTTGAGTCAAGGGACCCGAGCATCTTTCTGGTTGCTGGGGCAGACCCCAGTGACAAGAATCTCCTGCGAGACATCAGAGTCACCCAGAGCATCTGGATGGACATGAGGAAAGTGATCGTAGCTTCAGTGACCAGCATTGCTTGACAGAGGGAGAAGTCTCCCGTTGGGAGTGGATGGATATGGGAGGGCATATTTATCATCTGGGATGGGCCTTCGTCTGACCGGATGCTGGGAAGTTGGCTTGGAGAGAATGAGGAGTGAGAAGGGGGGAGTGGAGGAAGGGCTATTTTTATGCTGGACAGGGGTGCAGTTGGCCCTGAGTCAGGAACGTCTGAACTTCCATCTGAAAAATTGCCATTCCTGCCCCTGCCAAGTGTCACAAGATGTCCCTCCCCCCCCCTCACCTGCCAGCTCCCACTGCAGCCACACACACAGCCACTGCATGTGCAGGACCAATTGATCCTGCGGATTCCTGCTTCAAACCCCAGCAAGTGGGAGGCCCGGGAAGGCATAGTCAGCGAACTGCCCACCCCCTCACCATCTAACTCGCAGCCTTCAGTTTATAGGGGGAGTCCCCACCTGCACCAGACTTTCCAGGTTTCCCCCTGCCATTGGAGTTTTTCTTGACACACAATTTCCATCTAGTCAGCGTGTCCCAACCTTTCTCCCGTCCTTAGCTCCAGGGCCTGCAGACCTTTGTGGGGCTAGTGAACACACTGGTTCTCCCTGCACTTCAGGGGACTCGTCCACACCCTGGACAGACGTAAGCAGTCCCCCTCCCCACCAGTCCAGCCTGTGCTGATAGATGACTCAGGGCTCAGGGTCAGAGGTTCTTCTCAAAGGGAAAAAGGGCCAAGTGATGGGGCCAAGGACGGGCTGAGGGCTCAAAGAATGGGAGAAGCGCCCTGACCGGTTTGGCTGAGCGGTTAGAGCGTCGGCCTGCAGTCCAGAGACCCGGGTTCAGTTCCCGCTAAGGGCACGTACTTCGGTTGGTTTGGCCCTGGCCCTGGTTGGGTCGTGCGGGTGGCAGACACTCAATGTGTCCCTTTCGCATCAATGTTTCTCTCTCTCTCTCTTCCTCTCTCTACCTCCCACTCAATCTGAACAAAAAATGGAAAAAAAATGTCCTTGGGTGAGGATAAAAAGTAAAATAAAAAAAAATTAAAAATGGGAGAAGACGATCCCTTAGGTGATCTGAAAGGCTTGCTGGAAGAATTAAGGCAGTTCTGAGAAGGAACCCATTTTGGAGAGTACCTAAAACATGAAGCCAAGGCCACTCTCCCTGGGTTCTCTTGCTTGGGTACCATGAGACCGCAGAGCAAAACCAAATGCCAGAGAGCTGATGCAAACAAAAAATAATAATAATAAGTTTCAGAAACAGGCAGACCCAGGCACAATTCCGGTTCTGCCATTTTCTTGAATAAGTGGCTTCACCCCTCCGAACTCCAGTTTACTTATCTGTAAAGAGACAATAATGAACCCCTCCTTTACAGAGTGCTTGTGGGTAATCAAAGGGTAAATAACGTCTATGATGTGCCATGGGTAGTACGTGACACGAAGTAGGTGCTCAACGAAGGTTTGGCACTCCCTCTTCTTGTAAGTGTGCACTAAAGGGAGGGCTGTCCACACTCAGAGTGACTCCCACCCAGCACCTTGGCAAACCAGTGAACCACCCATTCCCTCACACTTGTGGTGTGGCTTTGCAAATGAGCTTGTTTCCTGTGTATGGTGGGTGTGAGAATTTTAGATTAAGCTATAGATCTATCATTGGGAAATGTATGTTCAGAAACAGAGGCAGGGACTACACAATCAACACACACTGGACCCTACGAATCCATACACACACCCACAAGCTGAGGGCTTCAAGGCCAAGCATAATTCAGTGAAAGCAGTGCTGAGAGGAACTGGTGTGTGGGTGGCATGGGGACATGCAGACCAAGATACCATCCAGGGAGGTGGCCTCCTCTAACAACCAACTTTAGTGTTGGTTTTAAATTATCTGGAGCTGCATTCCCATCGCTTGTTCTTGACAGCACTAGTTCCATGAGGGGCCTGGATAGAAAAGGGTTGTGGGGCCAAATCAACATGGCCTCAGCTACAAACTGTCTGGTATTAGCTCCACAGTCAATATGAGCTTGTTAAAGCTCTGGAAGTCCCTACAGAGAAGGAGCCAGATTAATTTTGTCAAACCCAGTGTTTCCCAGACTTCCTTGGTCACAGAACCTTTTTTTCCAGTATCATCTCTTTCACACCTATACCTTTTCTTTTTTCTTTATTGATTTTAGAGAGGGAAAGAGAGGAAGGGAGAGAGAGATAGAAACATGGATGAGAGAGAACATCAATTGGCTGCCTCCTGCATGCCCCCCACTGGGGATCAGACCCACAACCTGGGCATGTGCCCTGACCCGGAATCGAACCGGCAACCTCTTGGTATGTGGGTCGATGCTCAACCACTGAGCCACACCGGCTGGGCAACGCCTATATCTTTTGAAACAAGGGAAAGAATGGAAAAGCGGGCTGTAGAGTTGATCCTCCTCAAATGATTGTGTCTCTTAACAGAGTGTCTGCATTGATGGCGGTTTTGTTGTTTTTTTGTTTTTTAAGTACAAAATTAGCACAGGGTTTGAATTTAAA